AAATAAAATTACACGTAAATTAAAAACTTTTTCTTATTTTTCAACCACACATTTCCCATCAATTTATTATTCCAAAATACATTTTTATATAAAAATGACTACCGAACACCCTCTGAATTTGCTGGCATACTTTACCATGTGTTTTTGTCCATATATTGTACATAATAAGTGCATAATTAAAATATTTCATGCATGCGTGTCCAACTAGTTGTGTACAATGGATAGGGTCCAATTGCTTAACTTGCATACCATCGAGCTCGATTTGATTCACCATGCGAGTTAGCTCGCACTTGTGGGGGCGAATTGAGTGCTTATCGACTCACTTTACTGAAGTGTGGCTCGTCTCGTGAGCCAACGAGTAGCTCACAGGAATATTTTGCTGTTCAGGCCCACAGCTCGATCGAATGCGTTATCAACTTGACTTGTCCCCACTTTCCACCCCATGTCCAAAAAGTTCAAAGTGCATAAAATCGAGTACATTTTTGGTTGTTATAGCGTGCATTGATAGAAGACTAATTAATCAAACTTTATTTGGATATCGTTAACATTTGTATGAATATCTTCCATCACTTGCTTAACACGTTGCTTTGATAAACGATTCTTTTGTGACAAAGTTAACTAATTGTAACTTATCAAAGTTCCATCTTTACCATATTAAAAAACAACATATGTGGAATTCAATATCCCTATAGACATCAAAAGCAATAAAAGTTGATATGGTTTAATAACTCAATTAACTCCAAAATTTTAGAACGTAATTTCCTTAAAAGATGAAAAATCGAAACCCAATTGATCCTAAAACAACTTTTCCATTTATTTGTACATTTAAAAATTAAAATGTAAGAGACATTTTGTAACTTTTATTAGACATGGCTTACGTCATGGTGAAGCATGCCGTGTGGGTTTATCGAGATTCCTCTAAAATAAATGAATGTTCTTTTGATTTCTATATTAAACTCAAATAAACAAAAGTTGTACCCATCACCCATATCAAGGTTTTGAACACACGGTGTAGAATCGAAAACCATGCGTGTCTTCAAATTTATTATAAATTAATTCTCTTTTACATGTTGAGAAGTTCAAACTTTCATCAATATCGTCGAAAAGTAAAAAGTGAATGACATAAAATGCCATTAAAAACATGATTATCGAGTTATAGAAGATTCTCACAATTGAAATGTTAAATCATATTAAAATAAAATTCCCTAAGAATTTTAATAATCTTCGATAACAATGGTAACAATTGTATGGTTATATACTGGAATACATTTTAATCTCACTATAAACTTGTATCTTATTATAGGTAGGTTTCACTTGTGAGAGAAGAAGTAGAAAATGACGACTAGTATAGTAAAATAACGGTAAAAAAATTAATTTTTTGGAATAAAAAATTGCCACCAAACGGGGCTATATCTATATGTTCTATGATTTATTAAGAAAATAAATTTAAACGCCTCATCTCAATCAAATCTGATTTACGAGATCATCTTGGCAACAATTCTAAAAAATATATTTTCTATATATTTAAGATGGATTATAGATATTTTTGGTCTCTAATTTCAGATCGATGAAAACATGGCCAAATCTACATTAGATCGATTCTCATTTTTTTCCCCTTCTTGTTAACAAGTCTTTTTAGGTAGAAAATTATTCGGCAGCTTCCATCCAACTTCAACATCGGCCATGGTTTATGTAAGGAAATGTACAAGTATAATAATGGAGAAAAGATTATTTATTTCCTTTCAATTTTTCCATTGAAACACCAATTTAAGAGCATAACTCAGCCCATGTTTGTTGATCATTATTGAGAAAAAAAAAATGATGTTTTGTATAGTAATTTTTTGGAAAATGTGTGGCTTAAGAGTATGAAAAATTTTGAATTTACGTATATGTGGTTGAAAATAAGTATGAAAATTAGATAGTTTTGTTTTGAAGTGAAACAAACTTGAGCTCAGTCAGTGCTAGAAAATGTTAAAATTTAATTAGTCAATAAAAATAATTAGTAATATATTTGACAGAAATTGATGTCCGAATCGAGTCTAACAACTATGAGTATAATAGAGATGACAAAATGCTCTCGCATCATCTCATCCCACATTGTGGACTTGAACAGAATGAGGATTTTTTGATTAGTCAAATTTTTTTCATCTTGATTAGTCAAAATTTATTCATCTATATGTCGAATTCATGTCTCCAAGCACTACAAATGAAGAGTACCATGAGTATTACTCTCCGACAACCTCATTTTATGGTGTAGCCGGGTTTAGCCCTTCACTTATGGAATATATGGATTTTTCCTCATATACAGAAGTTGAGTTAACAGAATTCGACCAGATAAGTCACAAAGGTGGGCCTTACCTGAATAAAAATTAATCCATTCACCCCCACTGTTTATGACCTATAAAGCTCTGTGAATACAGTCATGTACACCAATCATCACTCGAAATATATTAGTCCCCGTTTGACCCCCATTACCTGAAAATGAAAATGCAAGAACAGTATTTTTTAAAAAAATGAGTGATTGAAAAAGAAGGAAAAGTTTTCTATTTACGTGTAATATAATTTTATGAAAGATTGTGTAATTAAAAATAGAAGAGAGAAAAATATAATGTAACGTAATTGAATTTAATGGGGATCAAACGGGGCTAAGCAACTCTTATTTCAAACTTCAATACATGGAAACTGCCAAAAAAAAATGTAATAATAATAAAAAGTTTCATTCATCCTTCTGGTGTTGTTTTGCAGAGAAAATATAAAAAGGGTTCAGTGTTTTGTCCGTTTGACAGCATATGAATAGAGCTGACAATTCTCTGCTGCGTTTGTCGGGAACTCGGGTCTGAGTTAGTCAAGGCTTTAACGCGGCACAGCACGCGGAGGTGACTCAGTACTTCTCACACGAAACCCCCATCTCCCACCACCGCTACCATCCCTGTCACCTTGCCCTTTTTGCCTGCTTTTTAGCATGACATCCTTTTAGCCCTTGTTCAGGGGTCATTATTGAGGATGGGAAAATTTCATATTTTGAATATTAATTTTTTTAAGATGAGTAATTAGAAAGTTAGAAAAAATATTGAGTTTACGTGTAAAATATTTTATTTAACATAAATTATAGAACTAAAGTTTATAACAAATGAAACTTCTAAGCATCCTTTTTAGGTTGATTTTACGTGACATCACCATACTTTTACTTTATGCAACATCAGACGAAATAACAATATTCGCTGAGAGGTCGTTAAAATCAACATCTACATATATGACAATTGACGTTGACTTAGTCAACTGTAGCGGAGGTCTTCCAAGTGCAAATAGCCAAATAGGTCGCTAAACTTTAATTTGTAGTTGTTGAATTACTTATCTTCCATTTAACAATAGTGAAAATACTTTTTTTGGGATACAATTAGACGATTTAGCATATTTGATAATGTGTCAATTAAAACTAACAAATTTATTACGTCTTCATCTCCATCATCAAATTTTGACGTCAATCTCAGACATCAATTTTGAACGATTTCACGATCTATCAAATAAATAAAAACCTAAGAATTCATTCAATTGTCGAAGGGAAAATGGGAAAAATCTAGTATTTTCTTTTATATCTTTGTTCGAACCCCATTGTCAAAAACAACTTCTTCTTTTTTTAATTAATTTTTAAGCACTCATTTTATCAATAAAATAATTTATACTTAAATTTAAAATTTGTTCCTAATTTATAATCGCATATTCTCGAAAAAAATACTATTAAAAACAAGGGCTAAAATTAGCGCTATGGGATAATCTAAAGTCCATCTAGAGATGAGTCTTGACATAAAGTCATAAATGTATCTCTGTGTGTGTGTGTTTTTTTTTGGTACCATAAGAGAGAGAAGAAATTTGTCCTCTGTGAATCGGTGGGACCAATGTCATTACTGTAACGCCGCTTACTAATTTTTCACAATTATCATGTTTATCTAGATTAATGTCATAATGTTATATTCGTTGTTCAATTAATATAATTATTTTTCGTCGTGACTAACTATATTTTTTATAGTCAAATGTGCCTTGGACGTCCTAAATGATTGACGCGCCTATTGATTTAAGTCTAACATATCATATTTATAATATAATAAAATATCCTTTACTATGTGCTTTTAATTTATCTTTCTTTTGGAGTTGAAAGATTTCTTTCTTAAGCAATATATTTTGGATTTATTAATTTAAAATAATAATTGGGTGACATAATAGGAATTAGCAAATTAATAGAGCCAATATAGGGTTTAAATAAGTTAATATGAATAATAAGGGGCTTCATTAATCAATTTTCCCAAATTAAACCTAATTAGACTTCTTTAGGATGTAAGAGTCAAATGATTTGCCTTATCACTCTTCATTGCAATAGCCAGACTTTCAACCCAACTCAAAAATCCTTGTCCACTGCTTCCACCCTGGAGTCTTGAGTTTTTACGCCTAGTGTTAAGGTAATAGGATTTATGCCCCCCGGGCACTTCTCCACTGGCAAAGGACGGGCTCTTTCAATGCTGGTAGATCAGAGGTCCTGAGTTCGAATCATGTGGCTCTTAAAAGGCAAGGATTTATTCTTGGAAGGCAAGAGAAATCTTGGAAGGCAAGGATTATTCTTGGAAGGCAAGATGCAACTTGGATTGGCTTGCTAGACACTTTGGCAGATCAAGTTGGAGAGGGCTCGGACCCTGACTAGTTGGAGGTACATCCCGCGATTAACTAGACTGTGTGAAGAGGGGACGGATCACAGACCCAAAGATTAGTCAAGAATTGGACACCTTGTAAAAAAAAAGAAAAAAAAAAAAAGAAAGAAAAGGTAATAGGATTTACTGTAAATTTCAAGGACATCATTTGTTTAATCCAAATTCATGCACACATCCAGCCGTGAATATAAAATTGTATGTTACAATTTTATATCATTTGTTACAATTACCCTTTAAATAGCTGCTAAATTTGAGGGCGTTACAATTACCCTTTAAATAGCTGCTATCCCATCTACACCTTCTGCATTCCTCTCTGAGAAAACCAGTACACCTTTAAACCTCCTTTACTTGTATTACAATCCAGAATATCTTCTGTCATATTCACCCAAAATATCATACTTGTTACGTTATTCTCCTCCTCCTTGCTACTTTAAGGCGCAGACAAAACGGGTCTACCTTTGTGGATGCTGGGATTCGGGGCGGAGCGCTTGCGGGCTGACATGAATCGTTTGCTCGCATTACTCTTCCACCAGGTTTTAATTCTTTGCAACAATATCTAGTTATTCACAATGAATAGCGTCATTCTTATCATTTACTGTCATAAAAATGTATATATATGTTTACTTATTACGTAATTTATAGGTGAATTTTGTGTTTGGTTTGATTAATTACAGGGAGTGTTGGATGAGCAATTTTTACAGCTCCAGCAGCTTCAAGATGAGTCCTCTCCGAACTTTGTTTCTGAGGTTGTTAACATATACTTCCACGAATCTGAGAAGCTGTTGAGGAATCTCAGAGGATTGCTGTATTTCCCCTCTCTCTCTCTCTCTCTCTCTCTCAAACACACACAAAAGCAAAAACATTTATCATTATTATTATTATTTTTTTCCCTTTTTTTGCAAATAATCACTTTTCTGAGGAGGGCTCAACTTGAACTCCAACATGCAGGTGGGAAGTAGAATATATGAGCTAAAAACTACGTTTCATCTGTCTCAGTTATATCTCGTCATATTGGCTTCTTGGTGACATTCGAACTCGTTGCTTGAAGTAGACTTTAAAATTTCATTACTGTATACTAAAATGCAGAAGTCCTTCGTTGTATTTCACACACATACATGTATATAGGCAAAAAGTTAAACTTTCACACACATATATACGCGCATGCTAAGCACGGGAACAGTCTGAAACTTTTTTACTTGGAAAAGAGTTACTTTTGAACATTCGAATCACTCATGCACCGAGGCACGTACACTTTTATGTGGTTAAAGTGATTAGTGAATAATTTAATTTGATTAGATGGGTTTTGATTTTTATGTTAATGGTGGAAAAACAGGCTGGATAGAGAGTTCTCGGACTTCAAGAAAATGGGAAGTCATTTAAATCAGTTTATGGGTAGCAGTTCAAGCATTGGTGCCCAAAGAGTCCGAAACGTTTGCGTCGCCTTTCGCGCTGCTTCCGAGCAAAGTAACAGAGCCGGGTACGTTCAATCTCTCTCTCTCTCTCTTTATGCACGAAGACACTTTTAAGTCAAGGAAAAAACCCTCAAGATATTCCTAAATTTCACTCTATTTTAGGTGTATGAGAGCCTTGGAGCTGCTAGAATGTGAGTACTGCTACCTTAAGAACAAACTGCATGAACTGTTTCAGGTAATGAATATATCTGAGTTTTCAAATTTTAGACTTTTTAGGCAGTAATTAATATAATGATTACTGTACAGATTGAGCAGCAGAGAATCCTAGCAGCTGCAGTGAGATACCCGCCAGTTCAGCACCCCATAAACAACCCGTAGCCCCATTTTTGCCTGTAAATTGCAGAGCAGGATCCAGTTTATCCGGAAGGGGAAGCGAAGTAAAAAGTACTGATGGTGACTGATTTTTCACCTGATTAGACATATGCCTTTATAAATGGTTTTGTTTGCATTTTGGGTTTTTTTGATGCAAATGAATGCTACAGTCACAATTGAAGAAGGCTGCAGTTTTTGGGTTTCCAAGTCTTGTAGGGATTCAGCTTTAGATGGTTTAGCTTAGCTTATTTCTTTTCTTTGTCGAACTGCCACTTCTGATGAAACCAAAAAAGCAGCATGTAAAAACTCTCAGCCTTCGATCAAATCTAATGTGTAAGCCGGGGAAGGCACTCTATTTTATGAATCAATGAAAAGCAGTCAGATCAGTTCAAGGTTATGGATACTGAATTTATATTTTCACTAACTTGTAGCAAGATTGATTCAAGTAAAAGTCATTTGCGTTATGAGTAATGCTATTCAGTATTATTAGTGTTAAGTAACACTTTAAGTGGTAATTGTATAATATTAAATGATATATTCACTTAAATGTAATGTCACTTGATTTATTTAATTAAATCTATCAAATCTTATCACCTAGATTGGTACTAGATAACATTATTTTGGCGTTATTAATGATAAAAAACTACAATGTCTGTTCAAATGTTACTAAAGAACTAATCATCCATTCTTATGCTAATGGATTTCAGAGTGTATCGTGTCTTGTATTTCTTTCGCCTTTGGGAGATTCCGCTGAACTAAATAACTTGTCCATTCATGGAGTTGGTAGGACATTGCAGAATTTTAGTAACTGATTACAATATACCAATATTTATTAGTCCAACTACCTAGTATCTTTATTAGAAAGAAAGGATAATTTTAAGTGTACATAACTTTGTTTACCAAATGGTTTATCTACTCTCACAAGCACGTGGATCCCACGTGAATAAAATAATCACATGTGCCCTATTGTGAGTGTATGTAAAGCATTGGTAAAATAAATTAGATACATCTAGTATAGTCCTAGAAAGAAAACGTGAAATTGCAAATACCCTGGTTATCTAAAAAACGTGTGTCAGAATCCTATATGGCAATGTTATTGATACAAAGGTTACATATAGAAAGCATAGTACTAATGGTTGAAACTATGTCCGTAGCATAAGAGAAGAAATTATAGTCGAGACCGTAGTTTTGTAAAATGCGATGAGCAGATGTGATAAGTGTATTTTATACAATAATTCGGAACTTAAAATAGCGAATTTTGACAGTTCTGTTAACACAATATATCCAAAATTATTTTATTTTATATTATAAAGATAAATTCAATGGTTGAACGAGTAATTGAAATAAAGAAGTGAAAATTGGTGAAAAAAGGTCAAATCCAAAGTATGAGGACTAAATGCTACATTTCAATAGTTGATTTGGACCATGAAAATGAGATTAAAGACGTTACAGGTTCAATTGGATGCAATGAAAAGTTAAAAGACCGAAATTATAAGAGAAAATGACTCTTAAAACAAGCAAGAATTGAATTTGGGGACCAAAACGTAAAGTTTGAAAGATTGTACAATCGAGCGACCGCCCAACTTACAAAATAAAAAACAGTGACTTTAAACTGAGCTTGGGTGAATGCCCAATTTACTATTGGGCGACAGCCCAAACCAAAATCTAATACCCCAGCCAATTTTTCTTTTCATTCCAAATTTTACATGGAAATCACTTTTTTGTACGAATTTTGACTTAATTTCACCTCTATAAATAAATACATAAGCAGCCAATAAAAAAAAAAAAAAAAAAACTCTCAAACACCTCTCATATACATCTCTTTCTCCAATCCTCATCAATTATTATCATCAAAGGAGGAAAATTCATAGTTTTTGTGAGAGAATTGAAAGATGCTTACAAGAATTCAATCAAGTGAAGATTCAAACTTAGTTTTTGGGCAAAGAAGAGATGACACAAGTGGAGATTCATAAAAAAACCACTGAAGAGATTCAAGATTTCAAAATTCATCTTCATCTTCATCTTCTCAATTTATCAAAATTTGGATTATGTCATTTCACTTAAATATGATTTCTTGTAATTTCAATATGTAAGGCTAGTTTAATACATAGTTAGGATGAGATGAACTCTTGTTATGATATTTTGAGTTTTTAATTAATTATTTTGACTTTGATTTGGTTTTATTTGTGGATGTTTATTATCGTTTTTTTCAATTGTTCGATCACCAATTGATTTATTAGTGAATTTTATAATTATCGGGGAGAGATAATAGGGTTTAAGCACAATATAAAAATATTGTGATGTGAACCTGTGTAGGCAAACGCTTCCAAATGCATGATCAAGATTGAAAATCGATCCAAAAAAGCCAAAGCAAAGTTTTGGATTAAACTCAATAAATTTGGAACCAAGCAACTCGAATCGCCGACGATATGTGGACCTCTTAATTACGCAAAAATATGTGAATCTCACCCGATTGATTTGAACGCCACAAGATTTAAATCTTGATAAGTTCGTAGATTGTCCAATTAAAGAATACATAAAGAAAGCAATAAAAGTCTCCCAATAATAATAATGCCAAAAGTTGCAATACAATGAATAATAATGAGTATTTATACTAAAACCCCAAGATATGGTAAAAACATGCATAATCTCCAAAATATGCTAAAATTATGGAAAGAAATAAATTCTATTAAAAAAAGAAAAATTCGCGAAATTTTGAAAAATCCTCCCCGAAATAGACCGATGTGGTCGCATGGTTCAATTCCATGTGGCCGTATGGAACAACCAAGTTCAACCGATTGACGCCCTGCCCCTATATGTGCGATCGCCAAAGATGGAGAACTATGCGGTCTCATAGTTCTTCACTTCGACTCCGTTTTCGTCCACTTTTAGTATATTGATCCAAGCTTCTTTGACATTTGATCCCAACATGAAACTTGCTCCATTTTGAATCTCAAACATGGTTTCATCAACGGTTTTCCTGATAAGCATCCCAAAGCCTCTTTTACTCGCTTCGCCCTTGATCACGTCATCGGTCCACTATCAATGGATCTTCCCCCGGACTTGACATTGGACTTGACTTCCACGCTTGAGTGTCCTAGTTCACACCATCCCCTCCCTCTTCTAAAGGATTCGTCCTTGAATCTCAAAGAGAGAAAGATCAGATGCATTAAAAGTTGCTGAAACGTTATACTCACCTGGAAGATCTAATTTGTATGCATTGTCATTGATCTTCTCAAGCACTTGAAATGGTCCATCTCCCCGTGGCGGCAACTTTGATTTTCTCTGTTTTGGGAATCGTTCTTTCTTGAAGTGCACCCAAACCCAATCTCTTGGTTCGAAGGTAACAATCTTCTTGCCCTTGTTTGCTTGCTCGGCATAATGCTTGCTCTTCTTCTCAATTTGTTCCCGTACCTTTTCATGGAGTGACTACACCAACTTGCCCTTCCTCTTCCCATCCAAGCTACCTCATTCAGTCACAGGCAAATGTATTAAATTCATAGGTGTTATTAGATTAAAACCATAAACAATCTCAAATGGAGAAAACGACGTAGTGGAATGTGTGGCCCTATTATTTGCAAACTCTATGAAAAGTAAACTTTCTTTCCAATTTTCAAGTTTTTATTAACCACAGTGCGCAATAGTTGTGTCATGGTCCTATACACTACTTCAGTTTGACCATCTGTTTGTCAGTGACAACTTGAAGAAAATATTAATTTCGTGCCTAACTTATTCTCCAAGACCCTCCAAAAGTGACTAAGAAATTTGACATCCCTATCTGACAAAATACTCTTAGGTACTTCATGCAAGCGCATAACTTCTTTAAAGAACAAGTCTGCAATGTTAGTGGCATCATCGGTTTTGTGACATAGAATGAAATGGGCCATTTTACTAAACCTATCCACCACTACAAAAATTGAATCCCATCCCTTTTTAGTCCTAGGTAAACTTAACACAAAATTCATAGAAATGTCTACCCAAAGTTCACTAGGCACTGGCAAAGGTATGTAAAGTCCATGAGGTAAGATCCTAAATTTAGCCTTTTTACAAGTTATGCATCGACCGCAAATCCCTTCCACATCAACTTTCATTTTAGGCCAATGAAAGTGTTCAGTTAATGTTTCTAAAGTCTTTGCTACTCCAAAGTGACCCATTAGTCCTCCACTATGTACTTCTCTAACCAACAACTCACGCATAGAACAATTAGGAACACATAATTTGTTTTTCCTAAACAAGTACCCTTCATGCTTAAAGAACTTATCTACAGCCCCCTTATAACATGAATTGTAAATGTTGGAAAAATCAAGATCGTTATCATACATGCCTTTAACGTACTCAAAGCCAAGTAATTTTGCACTTAAAGTAGTTAGAAGCACATACCTTCGTGACAATGCATCTGCCACCACATTTTCCTTACCTTGTTTGTAACGGATGACATATGGAAAAGTTTCTATGAATTCCATCTAGCGTGTGAGTTTGTTCAATTTACCTTGACCCCGCAGATGCTTTAATGATTCATGGTCAGTGCGAATTACGAACTCCTTTGGCCATTGGTAATACTGTCATGTCTCAAAGGTTCGAACAAGTGAATATAGCTCCTTATCATATGTAGGATAGTTGAGAGCTGCACTACTTTGCTTTTCACTAAAGTAGGCTATCGGACTTTTATCCTGCATTAAGACTACTCAAATACCTATTCCTGATGCATCACACTCAATCTCAAAATTTTTGTCAAAGTTTGAAAGTGCTAAAATCGGTACTTTACACAAACAATCTTTGATGATGTTGAATGCATGTTCTTGTTCTACCCCCCATTGAAACCCCACATTTTTTTTGACAATTTTAGTTAGTGGGGTGGTAATCGAAATAAAGTCCCTAACAAAATGCCTATAAAAACTAGCCAATCCATGAAAACTTCTAACTTCAGTTATGTTTTTAGGTGTTACCCAATCCTTGATAACCTTTATTTTCTCTTCATCTACCTCTACACCATTAGCACTAACTACAAAGCCTATAAATACAACCCTATCCATACAAAATGTGTACTTTTTAAAATTGATATAAAGTTGTTCTTTCCTCAAAATCACAAACACACACTTCAAGTGTTCTACATGCTCATCAAGATTGTTGTTACAAATTAAAATGTCATCAAAATAAATTACAACAAATTTTCCAATGAAAGCACGCAAAACATAGTTCACCAGTCGCATAAAAGTGTTTGGTGCATTTGTGAGTCGAAACGGCATGACTAACCATTCATACAACCCATATGTAGTTTTAAAAGCTGTCTTCCATTTATCACTCTCCCTTATGCGAATTTGATGATATCCACTCTTAAGATTAATATTGCTAAATATGCATGCACCATATAACTCATCTAACATGT